GATATTTTGTAATTGTAGTCATTGTCCTGAACGCACCATTGCATTTGTTTTCTCTTTGGTCTTGGCTGTTGACCTCATTTTCCCCTTTGTAAAGTGGGGATGTTAAATTACATCTAAGGCAATATTGGGGCTAATTTTTTTGCCAAAAGACAATAATAAAACATAGAAATATATTCTTCTGTTTTTTGTTTTGTTTTGCTTTGTTTTCTTTGTTTTACTTTTCTTTGTGAGACAAGGTCTTACTCTGTCACCCAGGCTTGAGTGCAGTGGTGTGATCTCGGCTCACTGCAGCCTCGACCTCCTGGGCTCAGGTGATCCTCCCACCTCAGCCTCTCGAGTACCTGGGACCGCAGGCACGTGCCGCCATTTCCGGCTACAAGAAATACACGCCTACCCCACGTTTGTGTGTCACACTTGGTGATTCACGTGGGAGTCTGAAGATCCGTACCTAATGCAGGAAGTATTTCATTTTTTAAAATTTGATGTCTAAAATTTTTCACTAATTCTCAAGTTTTAATTTTTCTTGTGCGACTTAGTTCTCACGAATATTTTTCAAAGTTTTCTATTTTGTTTTTGTTTTTTGTAAACCCTTGGCATGAAACTTGTTTCTAGCGCTGGTAAATAAAAAAACAAGCTTTTAACATACAGCTCATATGGTAAGTAATGCTTAGCAGTCGTTTCTTGCTTTTCTGAGCGTCTTAAACTTTCTTCACTTCCTTTGTGAAGGAAACCTGTCCAGGTTTTCCCGTGTTCACTGGCTTTGGGGGCAACGTTCACCTTATTTTTGGCAGTCACTAATCTCTGACCTAGATGTTGCTTCTGCTCTGCTCTGCTGGTGATGGGCGTCACGGCTTTGCTGCTGCAGGGCTGGCCTGGCTCTGGGCTTACCTTCGTGCTGGGAATGTGAACATGAGTGTGTTTCACAGAGAGGATTCCAGCATGGCTTTCACTGCTCTTTCACCTGCTTTAGCTGGATTTTTGGGTCTGTGAAAGTTGGGTGTGCAATGGGAGGGATTGAAGCTTCTTTTTTCCCTAATTGTTACCTAATTGGAACTTACCCAGAGGGAATGGGTGGAGAATTTGAGAGCAGTCACTGCAGTTAGATGAGCATCTGAAGATGTGGGACAAAGCTGGTGTTGATCACCCTGTGACTTTTTTATTTTCAAGTTTCCACACAAAGCATAGATCCTTGTGGTGTGTGATGTACACTTTCAGGCATGAAGAAAATCTCTCTTTAATTCCAGGGTCCTCCGCTATAAATAACTTTTTTTTTTCAGATTGTAAATATGTAACAAACGTGTAGGGTCAAAATTTGAAAACCAAAATACGTGAGGCAAACACCCCGCAAATGATCAGTTCCACCCGCTTTGACTTCCCTTGGAGGGACTGTGTGATTTATTATGCGATTGTTTTAAATTCAGTTTTTCATTCATTCCAGTTTCTCAAAGCTAGGTTAAACAATTTCATTTTCTTTTCTTTTTTTTTTTTTCTTTTTCTTTTTTTTTTTTTTTTTTGACAGGGCCTCTGTTTCCCGGGCTGGAGCGCAGTGGTGCAATCACGATTGACTGCAGCCTCAACCTCCCAGGCTTAGGCGATCCTCCCACCTCAGCTTCCTGAGTAGCTGGGACTACACGTTCTTGCCACCGTGCGTGGCTAATTTTTTGTATTTCTACAGAGACGAGGTCTCCCTGTGTTGCCCAGGCTGGTCTCAAACTTCTGGGCTCAAGCAGTCTCCCGGTCTTGGCCTCTCAAAGCCACAGGGGTTATAGGGATGAGCCACCGTGCTGGGCCTTAAGTTAACGGATTACAATAGAGAAAGAACTGGAGTGTGTAGTTAGTTGAGCTTCCCGTTGGCCAGGCACAGCCACCTTGGTAAGTGTATGTGTGTGTCCTCATTGCCCTTCTGATCCCGAGCTCCGAGGAATGAGGCTGTCTTGGGAGTGCTGTGGTTCTAGCCTCGTGATGGGTGAGTGACGCCGGCTGATTGAGGTCACCCTGGCGAATGCTGCAGCTGCTCGGGAGCCGGGGCAGGGACGAGAAAGCCGCTGAGGATCCCTCTGTGGACCCCTGAAAGGAGAGGGTCGAGATGTGAACATGGCAGCTGTTTTCTCCAGAGCCCTGTTTACTGATGGCCAAACAGGGTGAATCCTGAGAAGGTTTGGATTTGGGTCTGAACTGGGTTCGCCTGGCTGTAGAACACAGGAGCTGGTGGCGAACTCAGGAAATGAGGGCGTGAGGCGACTTGACGTGGATGGCTCCGGGTCCCTCCAGCCACTGTCCTGAAGCCGTCGGAGCCTGAGGATGTGTGGGAGTGAGCGTCTCTTTCCTGTCTGGCCAACACCCTCTGTGACCCGTGACTCATGGCCCGGCCCTGGGCAGCATTTATGTTTGAGGTCTGTGGATGGCTCCAGTTGTTCAGTAAATTTGGTGATTCTCATTGGGGTGATTGTGCCCCAGGGAATGTTTGCGCCATCCAGGGAGGTTTCTGGTTAGAACTGGGAGAAGGGATGCTCCCAGCACCTGGGACTGCGGACAAGGGACGCTGCGAAAAGTTCCTCCAAGCACAGGGCGGGCTCCATAGCAGGAGTCTGGCTCAGGATGTGGCCCTGTTGTGGTTCAGAAGCCCTGGGCGGATCTGATGTGGTGAAGTCGTCATCGTCACTTGTGATTTCCTTCTTGCCAGCATTGATGCTTAGCAGACGCCACAGCCCCTCAGAATCTATGTGGCGCTGGTGAGTGGGTCTTTCTGGCAAAACAGAATGAATGAAATACCTCAGAGCAGGTGTTACACATTCTCAGGATATGGCTGCAGGGAGTTTCGGTTTGACTCCTTTCACTCCTTAGTGCTGGCTGGTGCATTACTCTGTCCTGTAAGCTTGATCAGGTCACATCAGAAACAGTAGGTGCGTGCCACGCTGCTGTCAGGTTTCGCGAAGGTGGCGGTGACTACAGCCTTGTGAGTAATTCCTTGTCATAGTGGCCCTACTAAGGACCCAGGGGCCCGGCTGTGTTTGGTCTTGAGAGCTTTATGCTTTTCTGGGCAGGGTCTCTCCCCATCTTGAAGTCTTCCCTCCCCTTTTTTGGAGACTGAAGGAAGGAAAAGAGGAGCAACAGGGAAGAGGGGAGAGAGGATTTGCAGCAATGTGGCCATTCCCACAGATTTCAAGGCGGAGTTACGGAGCCGAGACACCCCCACCTGCCCTCTTGTGTGCCTCAGGCCCCTCCTGGCCCCAGGTCACCCACACCCTCTGGCTTCCAGCGAGAGCTTCTTGGAGAAGCAGCCAGCTCCCCGCGGCCAGTCTTGGTTAGTCCTGGGCTAGAGTATTCCACAGTAAAGGAGTGACATCACCTGTCTGAAGAGCATAAGGAGCTCCCCACGTGGTGGTGCTGACAGGGCCACATCCTGGGCACCAGGCCAGCCAATATCCCCAGATGAGTGTTTCTGGCTTGGAAGCAGGCTGGCATTTGGATTGAAGTCCTGCAAAAACTGCCATGGCCAGAGCCTGCAAGGCAGAGCCTGTACAGAGCAGCCCAAGAGCTGGGCATGTGCTGGGTCTGGGTGGACGTGGAGGACGTGCCATGGGGCACGGGGGCCCCTGCTCACAGCTCACCTTGTGGTCACCCAGCACTGACCCACCCATCTTACCCTGCTACCCACCATGCTGTGAACTCACCTGCCACGCATCTGCACCCACTGTCCGAAGCCCTTGGCCCACACGGGCTCCTGGCCTTGGGATGCTTTGGGTTGCACCAGGGCTGCAGAGCCTGGCTCTCTCACTGTCCAACTCTCCTGGGGAGATGTGGGCCCCGCCTTGCATCCCAACAGTAGCATTTCTGCAGCAGATGTGGGGATATTCACAGTAAGAGGGACACGTCCAAGCCATAAATAGTTGATTTTGCCACCAAGTGGATGACAAAAACACCTTCTGTGTGGGGCCGCTTGGAGCTGGGAACAGTGGGCGTGCGGACCTGTCCTGCTGTTACCTTGGTTAACACCCTGAGGTGGAGCCTGAAAAAGCCCGGTGTACACAGGCTCAAGAACCACTCCCCTTTCTGACAACAGAGCCCATTTCCCAGTGGAACCTCAGAGCAGCAACTCAGGTTCTTGCTCGCCTGTGTGGCTTTGCGTGTGACTTCCCGCCGGAGAGCAGAGATGTGGCGTGGGGCTGAGTGTGGCCCACCGGTAATCCAGCTGCCCGCCTCCTTCCCTGCCTGCGCGTGGAGGCTGCCTCTGCACGATGAAGGCGGTCACTTAGTGTGGTCCTTACAGCTGTGTGCCCCATTCCCACTGATCGTGGACTGCCTACAGAAAGCTACAGGACTGGCTTTGCCTTCAAACGTCCTGACCGCCCTGGCCTCCCTTACCTCCCTTACCCACGATGAGATGCCGAGAGCTGAGCTGTCCCGCTCGTGACTAACTTGCCGCTGCCTGCAAGCTGCTCTGTTGCCGGCCTCACACCCGCCCTGCTGTGCTGCCTGCAGGCCTCCCCTTTCATGAGGACCTGGGCTGTGCCCAGGCAGTCCCCTGTGTTGCTAAGGCCTGTCCTGCTCCCACATGGCCTCCAGAGCTCCCCTTGGTCCCCTGACCCACATGAACCAGCTTCCCCTGATGACTCAGGTCCCTGCTGTCCCTTCCTGGACCTCAGTGGAGGCCCTGGGGCTGGCAGGTGAGCACCCAGCACCCCCGCTAACCGCTTGGCCCTGCTGCTTCAGGCTTACAAGAGCACGTGCGACATGGCTGAGGCGCGAGGCCACCACCGGGAGCTTTGCATCCCCCTGTGTGTGGTGCCGGCCACGATTAACAACAATGTCCCAGGCACAGAAATAAGCCTGGACACCGACACTGGCCTGACTGCTATTGTCCAGGTAAGAGAACCCGGTTTCCTCCCATTGCTTTCTTTATTTTAGCAATTTGTTTCTTCTGTGCTAAGAATGAGCCAGATTTATTATTACTCTTCCCCCCCACCCCCACCCTTTGTTAGCTTGGCTTTATGTCGGTCACACTGGCCAGAACAGGGTACATTTTTTAGCTTCTCTGCCTTAGGGAGAACCTGTCTTTATTGATTAAAAGCGAGATGATATATCCAGTCCTTGGGGTCGTGTTTCTATCCCACCTAGACTAGGGGAGTTTTGAGCACCATTTCTCTGGAGCCGGCCTCTCCTGCCTGCGTTGAGTAGCGAGGCTGCAGGGCCAGCTGTGGGAGCCTGCAGGAAGGGGTTTGAGTGCCTGGTACGTACGAGTTCTGGGACAGAGGCGTGCCCACTGGGGGCCGCTGCCTGGAACCACAGCCTTCCTGGTGAGACGAGAGGTTCTTTAGAGAGCCGAGATCATGCCCTCCTGGGCAGGCAGTTTCACCAACATGTGCTTTGGGAGGAGGGGATTCTGCCAGTCATGGGCGTGGTGCTGACACCCGCATGGTGGCCCCTCCAGTCCCTGATAAGCTGACCCACCTCTATGGTCATGAGCTGGACATGAGGACCTGTGGGAGTTCCACAGGCCTTTGCTGCAGAGAGGGTCCTCACTCGGCTGCAGACAGGACAGTGGCTACCTTGGCATGTGGGGTCATGTCAGTGGATTGGCCGCCGGGTGTCTCCTGGAGAGCAGCCGCTGGCCTTTAGCTTAGATGTTCATGTGAAAACCAGCTCCGGAGTTTGCGGTGAAAACTCCCAGCCCTGTTGGAGACTCCTTAGTTCAGCTTGGCACAGAACCTTGGAAAACAGCAGTTCTGTTCCGGGTTCTTCCTTCAGAACTGAGTTCCAGTGCAGGGAAGGGAGCGGAGGGGTGGTGAGGTCAGCTGCAGCCTCCTGTGCCTCCCACTCGAGTTGAGGGCCAGCTCTCTCCTGGGCTTCTCCCTGTCGCCTTCCCTGGTGCTGTGCTGGCCTGGCAGAGGCTGGCCCTGGCTCATTCCCTGGACTTTCTTGGGCCCCCGTGCTTTTGACCCCTGTTCACTGAATGCCATTAGGGTCCAGCCATCGCTGGCTTCGCTCTCCTTTAGCACCTTGTAGATGTCCACACATGCTTCCACCCTCGCACCCGGCACGCAGCGCAGCACTACCCCAGCCAGCGGCTGTGCTTTGCTGCAGGTCCCTTGCTGTAGCAGGGATGGGAGCCCCAACCCCTGCCCCGTCTGGCCACCGACTTCAGCAGAGGCTCGGCTGCTGTGAAGGATACCAGTCATGGGAAAACTGGCCTCCCTGCAGATTCACAGAGCAAGGTGGTTCTCACAGAGAAGTCAGTGGCTTTTTTCTACCTTAACACTGTAGCAAACGCCACCTTATCTTTCACCACCAATTGATATTTCTTAACACCCATGGAGCAAAGTGCTGGTGATGTTTGAACTGTAGTCTGGGGCTCTCGCTCCCATGGGACTCCTTGGGGAATTTCCTAGCAGGATCGTGTGTGCGCCCTTGCAGGGGGTTGTGTCTGCTGGGCACATCCCATTGTGTGGCAAGAATGGCTGAGGTCACAGGCTCTGCCTGACGAGTGCCACTCACAACTGCTGTCCACGCAGGGCCACGCTTGGGATTGGCCGCCTTCTTGTCAGTGCTACTTTGACTAATTGCCTGAGGCACGGCCGGAGTGACTTGCTATTTTTAGAAGCTAATTCAGGCTTCAGATGCCATCTAGGTAATGAGGAGAGAGTTCAGGAAAGCTGTATCTAAGCTCCAGCAAAGGCAGACTCTTCCGTCCCAGCTGTCACTGCATTTACACTCAGAGGAGCACATGGTTGGGGGCATGGCTCAGCTGTCAGGGCTCCACTGTTCCACACACCCACAGCTGCAGCCTGGCGGGACCAGAACTCAGACACGTTTGGGCACAAATCAGCCTCTTGGGAGAGCTGCTTTGCCTGCAGAATTCTTTTGCCATTAAGCAGCTGTCATTCTTTGAATGAGTGACAGTAATTCCCCACCTCAGGGTGGGCTGTGGGGGAGATTCAGTTGGAAAAATAACCCATGAGGCTTTGTGCCTCTGGGGGTCCTGATGCCCCACCCACATTTTCCTTCCCATGCCCGGGATACTCTAAGACAAAGGGCAAATCTGAAAGCCTTACTGCATCTTAAGTCTTAGATCACAATGAGAGAGAGACCCAGTACAGGTGGAAGAGTGAAACCCTCAGAATTCTGCACTGGCCCTTCAAGAAGGCAGTTACAGGTTCTTTGGACCCTTGACGGGTTTCTGTCCTCTGTCCTTCCTAAGCACAAAGACGGGAATTCTTCCCATTGCCTGTTTCTCTCCCCATCTCGGCTTCTACACAATGCAAAGTGGCCCTCTAACTAGAGCCTGTGTTCAGTTTTGAATACATCAACCAATTATTTTGGGAGGAAAAGAATCTTCCAGAGAAACGAAGTATAGGTTGGAATGGTTTAATCAAGCCTGTGTTTATTCAACAAAGTGTGCTTTGAAATTTCATTCGAAGTACTCAAGTGAAAATTTCCCGTGGGTGTTAAACTTTAGTGAACAGACTCTCATGTGGCTCCTAGTCTCAAGCCCACACCCCCACTTCATCCTTTTACTCTTGGCTGAGTCCCACGGAGGCCGGTTAGGGAATCCTGCAAGATCAGCCCTTGACCCAAATGGACGGACGGACGGCTGGATAGACGGACAGATGGCTGGCTGGCTGGGGAATACTGTGCTTGTGTCATTCAGAGACAAGCATTCCTTGAGCGCCTTCTGTGGGGGGCTCGGCTGGGTCCTGCTGATGGTGCAGTGGTGTAAGCCCAGCCCACGGTTCCTGCCCTCATGGAATGTGCAGCCTAGTGAGGACTGCAAGTCACATAACCACGAGGTAACTGCAGGGGGAGACACCGGGGTGATTTCTATGAAGAGAGGACATGGGGTGCCCCGAGAGCCCCTGACAGAGGGAACTTTGTGGTCCTAGAAACCAGGTGACGTTTTCCTAAGGAAATGGCATTTCCCTCTGGGTCAGAGCTGAGGAAGGTGCCTGTGTGTGTCCTGTGGCCGCTGTGACCCTGACCACACACCTGGGGCTGGAAAATAATCGTCACTCTCCCACAGCTCTGGAGGGCGGGAGCCATGGGCTGAGGCCAGAGTGTGTGCTCCAGGAGAGTCCCTCGTGGCCCATTCAGGTGTCCAGAGCCCCGGGCCTTGCACGCCTTGTTCCCTGGCACCGCCTCCTCCCATGTGGGTGTGCAGCATCCTACTCCAGGGCCTCTGCACCCCTCATCTGCCGATGCAGGTGGTGGCACTTAGGGCCCACCTGGGTAGTCCTCAGGATTCACCTTTATCACCGCATGAGGGAACATTCCCAGGTTCCAGGCATTAGGACCGGGATTCCTTTGGGGGCTGCTCTCCCGCCCACCACTGTGCCTGAATATGATGCACATAGCGGCCAGCATATGCAGAGGCCCCAGGAGGACCTGGGGTGGCTGGAGCTAGAGCCGGACCTGGTGTCAGAAGTGGGCGGGGCCAGGGATTCCAGAGAAAGGCTTAACGTGTACTTGAAGTGAGCAAAGGGTTTTGAATGAACCAAGAACTGGATCAGATTTATGCTTTTTATATAGATGGGTCTCCAGTCTGTGTGAACAGATTGGAGGGGGCCAGGGTGGGAGCTGAGGCCCAGGCAGAGGCTTTGCAGAGTGCCAGGAGAGGGCGCTGTAGCCCGGACTGAAGTGTGGGTGGGAAGGCGGCAGATGCATTTCTCTGCTGTTTTTCTCCCTGCTGAGCTTGGGTCCTCGTGGAGGGCGGATGGCAGACATTTCACTCTGGGACCTCATGCCTATGCATCCGAAAGACCCCCAGGCGCCTGGGTGTAAGAACCATCATCTGCCTTGGAGTAGAGTTTCTATAAATGTAACATTCACCGATGGATGGAAGACGGCCACAACTCTAAAATCACAGGGAGCTTTTCAGAAGAAAATAGAATAGCACAGCTGTTCCCATGGACAAAGCTGGCAGGTGACAGCCCCCTAACTTCTCAGCTCACACCTAACGGTGTCCGTGTCTGGTGAAAGCTGCTTCAGCAGGGACAGTCGAAGAGCAGCATGGAGTGAGCTGGCTTGTGGGGTCGTCTTTTCAGTCTCCTCCTATGGGGCCTGGGAGAAGGGAGCGGCAGATGGCCAGGTCCCCACCACAGGTCATCGAGGTCACCTCCAGGTGGCTGACGGGGGGGGGCATGTTCACATCCACTCCGAGGCACATCCCGGCTGCTGCACACCCTTCACCCCTGTGCGATGCTGGGACTGCATGCTGAGGCGCGGTGTGGGGCCTTGCTGCACTCACTGGTAGGGGAGCTCTGGGATGGTGGGTGCACCCTGGCCCTGGGCTGGAGTGACTGATCTCTTCTCTGACCAGACCTGCGACCGCATCAAGCAGTCCGCCAGCGGAACCAAGCGGCGCGTGTTCATCAAGACCATGGGCGGCTACTGTGGCTACCTGGCCAACATGGGGGGGATCGCGGCCGGAGCCGATGCCGCATACATTTTCGAAGAGCCCTTCGACATTGAGGATCTGCAGGTATGTGACGGGGCTGGCCTCAGGGGACCGTCCCCTTGGGATCCTCTCGGTGCTGCGGAGCAAATCATCGTGTCTAGGGTGGTTTGCTTTTCGAGGGGGCATGCAGACGGAGGTGCTATCGAACACGCCACGCTTGATGCCCTTTGCATCGACCAGGTGCCTCTCCCGAGTGTCAGGTGATGGCGGACGTGCCTGGTTGAGGACACCTAGTCTCTTGTGTGAAACACAAGCTTGTTTTTTTGATGTAGTCTGTTGTGTAATGTTTTCTCCCTTCTGTCACAAACGATTTGAGTGCCTCCACTGACAGTCACCACCCACGTCTGCAACTGGCTCTGGAGCTGGCTGCAGCTTCTTTTAAGTCTTGAGGCCTCTGATGCTGCATCTGCCTCTAAACTGACACAGACACGGCCGTGGTTTCTTGGCATCTGTGGCTCTTTTAGGGAAGGGTGTCGCCGACCCCGGGGTCTGCCCCTGCTTCGACGGCACAGCAGAAAATCCAGGCCTGGACCCTGCAGTGTTCAGTTGCTGAACTCCATGCAGGAGGACAGGCCTTGGCAGATAAAATGCAACTGAACAATTGTCTTTAGTTAGTTATATAAATAAATATGTTATATATTGCTCTGTCACCCAGGCTGGAGTGCAGTGGCGCAATCTTGGCTCACTGCAACCTCCGACTCCCAGGTTCAAGCCATTCTCCTGCCTCAGCCTCCCGAGTAGTTGGGATTACAGGCGCATGCCACCACGCCCACCTAATTTTTGTATTTTTAATAGAGATGGGGTTTCACCATGTTGGTCAGGCTGGTCTTGAACTCCTGACCTCGTGATCTGCCCACCTTGGCCTTCCAAAGTGCTGGGATTATAGGCGTGAGCCATCGTGCCCGGCACCGTTGTCTTTTAAAAAGTTAGGATATTACTTGTTTCTGAGCCAAATAGATCAAGTAAAAAGGGCCTTGGTGTTGTCACTAATTATGTGACATGTGAATCATGAATTTCTTCACTGTGTCAAAGTGACTACTTGTGGAGTCGTTCACTGCATTGTGATGTTTCTGTCAGCAGTGGGTCCCATAAGATGATAATGGAGCTGCCCCAAACAGGTGTACTGTTTTTTTAATCTTTTATAAAATTTATATATATATATATATATATTTTTTTTTTTTTTTTTTGAGACGAAGTCTTGCTCTGTCACCCAGGCTGGAGTGCAGTGGCCGGATCTCAGCTCACTGCAAGCTCTGCCTCCCGGGTTCACGCCATTCTTCTGCCTCAGCCTCCCGAGTAGCTGGGACTATAGGCGCCCGCCATCTCGCCCGGCTAGTTTTTTGTATTTTTAGTAGAGATGGGGTTTTGCTCTTTTCCGCTGAGAGCGCCGAGTAGAACATTGTCATGAAAATAAATAAGGGGCAATAGAGCCGTGAATGAGCGCTAGGCCAATCACGGAATTATCGTCTTCAGAGGGACCCTGTTGATTCTGGAAGGCGTTTCTAGTGGCCGCCATGAGGGCTGCTCACCGTGCCCTGGCTCAGCATTCATTGCTGCAGACGTGCTCTCCCCGCCTGGGGGAGGCTCCCCGAGACCTGAGCCATGAGAGCTTGCAACCTCCTTGGCCACACTCACCGCCACACTTGGTTGGCACTTCCCGCCCTGCAGGGCCTGGCACACAGTGGGTGCTTAGCATAAGTTTATTGTCTGATTAACAAAATACTCTTTTCCAGTCCAATGTGGAGCACCTGACGGAGAAAATAAAGACCACCATCCATAGGGGCCTTGTGCTCAGGTGAGTGAGAGACCAGGTCTGATCTTACGGTCACTGTCACACCGCGGTTCTTAGGTTCTGGTGACTTTGGGCTGGATGAGTGGTCATTTCTTTGCCGCTGGAGTGCACTACACACTGGGCATATGCAGAAGAGAGTTGTGGTGCGTTGCTCTAAAGACTTTCTTGCATTTAGACAACTAAAACTTTTGCTTTATAGTCTTACTCTATTAGATATCTCGCAATCATTTCTCTAACACCTGATGTTTATGAAGGAAGAAGGAAATACAGTCATCCCTCTTAGCCTCAGGGAATGTGTCCCACGACTCCAGTGGGTACCTGGACCTGGGGATAGTACCCGCCCCCTGTATACATGAGGGGGTGGGTGCTGATAACCATCTGATAACCAAGGAGGCTACTGAGTGACTCAGGGGCAGGAGGCATAGACAGCATGGAGACTTTAGGGCACAGGGATGATTCACGTTCTGGGTGGGACAGCAAGACAGCACAAGATTTCATGACTCCCTGTTAGCCGGGCTTAGGTGAAATCGACATCCTGGGTCGGTTTGTTGTGTTGCATATGTTGTCACTATACAACAAAATAATCTGGAGTATACGCATACTCCCAGTTAGCTGGGAGACATTTTTTTTTTTGAGACAGTCTTGCTCTGTTGCCCAGGCTGGAGTGCAGTGGTGCAATCCTGGCTCACTGCAACCTCCACCTTCCAGGTTCAAGAGATTCTCCTGCCTCAGCCTTCCGAGTAGATGGGTGTACAGGCGCCCACTACAACGCCCAACCAATTTTTGTATGTTCAGTAGAGATGGAGTTTCACCATGTTGGCCAGGCTGGTCTCAAACTCCTGACCTCAGGTGATTCGCCCACCTTAGCCTCCCAGCATGCCAGGATTACAGGCGTGATCCCCACCGTGCCCAGCCAAAACATCTAAACTTTTAAGTCATGCCAAACAGCAGCAGCTTTAGGCTTCTTTTGTTGGTGAGGTTTGAGTAATGGGGATTTTAAGGGAACTGTCAGCTTTCATGAAAACAGTGACACCCCCATCACTTGGAAATGCTTATTCAAACTAAACACGGCATCAGGTTAAAAACTGGAGCGTCCTAAGATTTAAAATGGATTATCAGACATGTAAGATACTTGACACTCACCCTCAAATCAGAATGACCTGGAATAAGCTGCATGCGGCACACGCATGTTAGAGTTGAGCCTGGGACACAGCGGTCCAGGATTCCTAACTCCCACACACTCCTCCTTCACCACCTCCTATTCTTTATACTTTTAAACCAGAGCCCGTGAACTTATTTCAGAGAGCTCATGAATCCCCTGAAATGATGAAATAGTAGGCGTCTGTGTGACTTTGTCAAAGAATCCACAACGGTTATCAGATTCTTAAAGCTGTGACCCATCCCCACCCCAGATGAGTTTACGAAATCTTGATTTAAGATTTTAAAATATTGGAGATGGTTAGTTGACTCGTTCCATTTATTAAAACCCTTCTCTTACTGGGCAGGGGGGAACACTTGATACTTTTGCTTAACAGGCTGAGTTCAGGCTACAGGAATCACAGATTTTGTTTTGTTCTGTTCCAGCTATCCCTAAAGACTTAGAAACAAAAACATAATCTGGAATTCCATTTCAACAGTGTTACTGTATAACTGATATTTCATATGACTCTAACCACCAACAGGGTGGGGCACCTTCTCCATTTGATAGAAACTTTGGAACCAAAATCTCTGCCAGAGCTATGGAGTGGATCACTGCAAAACTCAAGGAGGCCCAGGGCAGAGGTAAGGGGTCCGGGGAGGGAGGCCATCTGCCTTGGTGAAAATGCTGTCCTATCGGGGAGAAGTAGGCTGCTGGTTCCTTCTTCAGTTCAGTACCGAGCTGCGTGTGATGTTCTAACTCCTGCTGGTCTCTGAGCATTGCTATTTAACCAATCTTGGATTCCTGGGTGTGCATGACATGTTCTCTTTTATCACTGCTAGATTCAACCTGAAGTTCTTTTGTGCAGGCTTTTTGCTCTGGAAATCCTGAGCATCAGCCCACAGTTTCCCTCACAGTTGAAGTGGGGCCTTCTATTTTTGGATGTTTGGTAGGACAACCTCCTTGTGACTCCATCCATCAGAACTTCCAGTTTTGAGGAAGATTTGGCTGCTGAATGAATTGTTCGTGTTTGTAGAACTATGCATGTTTTTCCTTAAATCAGTTTTGTAACTTACATATTCTAACAATCTTTAGATAAGCTGAAAAGTTTTAGAAAACATGACACATTACTCTTGTTAATGGTTCCAACATGGCTGGTCCCTACTCATTCCTGAGTGGTTATTTGTGCCAGCATCTTTCTCACCCCCACCCCCCTCAGCTTTCTTCAGTCATACCAGACGTGTGCTTTTATTAGGGCAAACCATTATCACTGCCAATGTCCGAGTTAGAAGAATGACAGTCTACAAAAAACAGTGATGTGAATAGTTTCAATCGGTTTGTCTTTTTGAAGAACTGACTGATTCTTTCTACATCCATTTTCTCTTGCTAATTTAGCTACGGATGCTTCTCGTGCCTCAGTGTGTGTATATGTGAGCATCAATTTCTTATTAGTGTTTTGCCATAATTTAAGGTAATTTCCTTATTCCACTATTTAGTGAAAAATTCTCTCCACTGAGAGAAAAAACAAAAGCTGCTTTCCAGGAAGCCATCAGGGTGATCCCACAAGAGCAGAGCTGTGCAAGCCCAGGCCGGGCGCTGGCCACACTGCACAGCTGTTCTCAGCCTCCCCCAGGCTTCCAGGCCAGGTTCAGCACAGTGCCCAGGAATCTCACCCCGTGATTCTGCTCCCCCAGCTGCCCATGGGACAGGGCAGTGTTAATCTGTTTTTAAACCTTTTATAGGAAAAACATTGACCACCGATGATCCCGTTTGTGTGCTGGGAATCAGCAAAAGAAATGTTATTTTTCAACCTGTGGCAGAGCTGAAGAACCAAATGGATTTTGAGTAAGTCGGGGTCTTATTGCCTTAGCAAACCCAGCCAATGTGAGTACAGGACAGGGGAATGGCCATTGCTGTTGCGTTCGGCAACTCATTCAGGGGTTTGAGGAACTAGCTTTTCTGAAGCTCAGTTAAAAAATACTAGGTCTTGGCCAGGCACGGTGGCTCATGCCTAAGATCCCAGCACTTTGGGAGGCCTAGGTGGGTGGATCACTAGGTCAAGAGATTGAGACCAGCCTGGCCCACATGGTGAAACCCCGTCTCTACTAAAAATACAAAAAGTAGCCGGGCGTGGTGGCGCACACCTGGAGTCCCAGCTACTCAGGAAGCTGAGGCAGGAGAAACTGCTTGAACCTGGGAGGCAGAGGTTGCAGTGAGCTGAGATTGCACCACTGCTCTACAGCCTGGTGACAGAGCAACAAACTACCACTAGGTCTTTGGGAAGAATTTTTAGAAATATAAAAACAATGGTTTTGTTTGATCTTGAAATTGGCTTTATCATCTAGTTGATTCAGCCGACCCTACAACCCCCGTGTTTCTGGCAAGACCACTTGCTGTGCTGGCCGTGGCATCTCCCAGCCTCACTGCTGTCCCCCCTTCCCTCCACAGGCACAGGATTCCCAAAGAACGGTGGTGGCTCAAGCTGCGGCCCCTCATGAAGATCCTGGCCAAGTACAAGGCCAGCTACAACGTGTGAGACTCAGGCCGGCTAGAGCACGTGCAGCCCTGGAGCCTCTGATCCAGTCCCACCTGCACGTGCCTGCAACCTGGACTCACCGTGGACCATCTGTTTTTGTAATACTTAAGTTATTGATCAGCACTTTATGCAGGTATTGACATTAAAACCTAATCAGTGAGCACCTGTCACCGCCCGTGTGCCCCACCAGCTCCAGTGCGTGCTGTCTGTGGACTGTCTCATGCTTTCAGATGTGCGTATTAAACATTTGCCTACAACTCCAAGTAGGGTGGCTACTAAGGGTTTTCTCAGCAGTTTTGTGGGCAAAGATTATCAAAATATTTTTATAGGGATCACTGAACTATGCGCAAGTCATAAAAGGAGAACAAAGCTAGTAGTTTACACAGGCCAAGGGGAATGCCATGTTTACTTACTGTTACATATTTGTCACGTGTCAGTTTCCATCCAGAGCAGCAGGCCAGGACCCTGGGCCTGGACCCCAGGCTCCTGCTCTCCTTAGAAAGTAAAAGAGAACACATGAATCTTATCTACTCGGCCTCTTGATTGCAATCCTAGCTGCATGTTAAACCACCACGGTGGGGGTTTGAAAAATCTGATAGCCAGCTTCTCGTCCAGTCCAAGCCACGGTCCTCACTGGGCCCTAATTTGGAACTCTCCAATGACTCTTGCCAGAGTAGACATGGGTGCTGGGGTGACAGCCCTGCCACCCTCGTGGGCCCCCCTCCTGTAGGGACAGTGTTTCTGCCTCAGTTCTAGACTGCAAGAGACCACAGCTGTACCTCAGAAACGTGGGCGGAGAGCTGTATGGAGGGAGAGGAGACACCAAAAACCAGCTGTTTGGGAAATCGGAGTCCAACGGCCAAGAGCTGGCGTGGAGGCTTTCCTTTCTGGCTCTGTAAAGACGAAGCGAGCACTTACTCACCCCAGCCCATCTGCTTCTCAGGACTGCTTCCATTCGGCCGCCCTGTTGAACTTCCGTCTGTTAGGAGGATGCTCCCACAGGGCCTCGGTGTGATCAGTTTCATGAATCAGCACAGGCGAGGTGGGACACCTTTGTGTGCCTTTTCATTCTACTTCTGCTTTTTAATAAAGGCCCTAAATGCTACTTAAAATAATGACTCAAGCAGAGGTTAAGTCAGAGTTGCCCTTTTTAGATTCTTAAATATTCTAGAACTAATGAGGTAAAACTAGCCTTTGTCAGTAGAAAGTAAATTCTATGTGGTGCATCTTTGGCACTTTGTGCATAACTATTTCAATGAATGTCTTCCTGGTTGCTCTTAAGACTGACTTGCCAGTCAGTGGCAAAACCTTAAGAATGACATAATGTTCTTGGAAAAAGCAGTAGCATTTCTGACTTTTCATATTCAGCTCTAGAGGCCGATTTTCTCAGGGGCTCCTGCACAGTCGGGCGTGCCAGGGCCACTCATCTGATGATCCAGGATGGGTCCTTGGCGATTTTGGGGTTCTCGGGTCCGAGTATGGCCAGGCCGTGCATGCTCTTCCCAGTGCCGAGAACCCGAGGGGAAGGCAGGCGAGGTCAGCGAGGACTGGCTTCTGCGTCAGTGCCGTTAAGGCCTCCATTCCCAGACACCGTCTCCCCCGCTCCCCACTCACCTATAGCTGACAGTGAAGAGCTGCTCCCTGTGGGCCTGCTTCATCTCATCTGAGAGGCCGTACAAGAAGAGGTCCATTCCTAGAAGACAAACTACAGGCACAGTGGGCTGTGCATTTGTGTCCCGGAGTGAGGCACCCCCTGCGAGGTGGGGAGTAATAGCCACCCCCTCCCCCCGCCTTGGCTATTGGAGCCATGGTGGACTCACAGCCTGTTTAGGATATTGTGAGTAGTATCATCTGCCCCTCTGGAAATAATGAACTGAATGGGAAACATCCAGGCCCCGAGACCCACTCAGGAGCAGAAAACGGGGAAGGAGCCTTGAACAGACCCTCGGGAGGGCAGTCAGCAGGAGCCATGGAGGCCACCAGGAGGGAGGAAGGAAGGCAGGCAGGGAGGCCAGAGGTGACGTGGTGGGGAGAGGAGACGTGGCCAGAGGCAACGTGGCCAGGGAAGGAGATACGGCTGGAAGGAAGTGACAAGAGGGGTCTCCAGGCCTCAGACTGCGCCTGATTTATGGATGACATTTTAACTAAGATGTTATATCTAAAGTAGCAATTTAGAACCATTGTGTACATTTAAAGCACGGTACAAATATAGCACATTTCCCAAACCAAAGAACAGTGCATTCAAGGAAAAAATAGCAGCTCACCAATAAAATAAAGGTGAGTCAAGAAAAAATTCATTTAAGATCAGAAATAGATCCTACAGCTCTTCTAGTCCAATCCCCACCCTAACATGAATGGGGGGAAAAGGGAAGTAGATTCTAGTCAGTCAGAATTAAAGGCAAATCCGATCCACTTTACTTTCTACTTGACAGAAAACAAGCAGCTCATCAAGGAATCCCTATGAACAGTAGCTTTAGGAGTCCCCAAAATGCAAAATTCACCTTGAAATTAAATCAACTGCTAAGTATGTATAAAGTTATTGTTTTCATTATTGCCCTCCTCATTCCCAGGGACTTTTTTAGAGCTTGTTTCCCCCTAATTGCCTCCAACACACCCAGGAAATTTAAACCCCACAAGTAAACCTTGTTTCGATTAACACACAGCATCCTTTAGGAGCAGACAATCCGTTTGCTCTAAGACGTTCTTGTGACCTAAGCACTGAGTACAGCCTGAGAACGCACAACACGCACACACACGAACTCGGACAAACAGGTGAGATGTGGCACATGAGGGGGAAGACGAGACAAATGAACTTCACTGACACCCCAGATCCGTGAAGAAGTGACACACGCAGCCTGCTCGGGTGCCAGTGACTCCTTGAAAACAGCCAAGGGCAGCATTTGGAGAAGCAGCACCGCAGGCCAGGAGGGTCTGGGGCTTCAGAGGGGAGGGGTGCCCCCGACCAGGTGCTGGGGGCTTCAGGAGGGAAGGGCGCCCCAATCAGGTGCCGGGGCTTCAGACGGGAAGGCGCCCTGACCAGGTCCTGGGGGTGGCAGGACAAGCCCTGGGTCCCCTCGTCACTTTTCACTCCCTACTCCCGAATCTCGCCCTGAAGTTGCAGCAAGTCCAGGTATTCATTTACCCATAAAATTAAGTATCTGTGAGTACACAAGTCACTAATCCACAGATATCTGAGTCCACAGATATCTCCCAGAGATGCCACCATCCATTCTGGTAGAAGAGCAGCCCAGGGGCCCACGCTGCTAGGAAGGGAGACTGTCTTCAGCCTGACGCTGCAGAATTCTCAACACAAAGTCTACCTTCTGGAACCATGCATCTCCTACAGAAGCAACTAGCAGCATACAGGGTTTTTTAAAATCTGTTTTTTCTTAAGACAGTCTCACTCTGTCACCCAGGCTGGAGTGCAGTGGCACAATCTCAGCTCGTTGCAACCTCTGCCTCTGGAGTTCAAGTGATTCTCCTGCCTCGGCCTCCCGAGTAGCTGGGATTACAGGCGCCTGTCACCAGGCCCGGCTCACTTTTTGTATTTTCAGTAGAGACAGGATTTCACCCTGTTGGCCAGGCTGGTCTCGAATGCCTGACCTCATGTGATCCACACGCCTCGACCTCCCAAACTGCTGGGAATACAGGCATGAGCCACGGTGCCTGGCCCATATAGCTGTTTAAATTTGACTAAAACTAAATGCAATTAGAAGTTCAGTTTCTCATTTGCACTTCAAGCATTCAGTTACCCACAGGCGGCCACGGACCAGAGGCTGGTGGAGATGTCACACTCCACACTGCAGAAGGATCTACGGACGAAGTGGCTCTAAGATCATCTCGACATCTTTATATCGAAGCTACTGAAGTTTTACTCTGCTTATTATAGACATCAGCATTCTCTCATTTAAAAATGTCAGTGCTATTGCAATGATCAGATCAGTGACTTCCCAGCACCTCTTCTCTTCCTGTACAGATAACTGCAGAGCATCTGCACTCTGCCTCCACACTAAGGGACAGCAGAAGCCTCCGTGTAAAATCGGGGAGAAAAAAAAATGAATCCCTAGTCCCTCTCTCCCTACAATTTTGTGAAGCGTCTCTTAATATTCAGAATAACTGCCGGAGTTACAATAAACAAACATCCCTTGACCAGGAAGCAACAGGGAAGCAAGAAAAGGAAGATGCGAGGACCCTCCATTCCCTCTGGGACCCCAGGCCCAGCCAGGACTGAGAAGGGCAGCACAGCCCGGCAGACCTGCACACCTGATGCAAACCGTGCACATGGCTTCCCTGGGACTCGGTCCCCCACTCTGCCCTCACTGGCCGCTGTGGCTCTGGTAGAGGGAGCTCCCTGAACCCCAACACCCACAGTCAGTTTCCTCCTTGCAGGTCTCAGCTCTGCTGTGACTGCCTCAAGTGCCTCCCTGATGCTTCTCATCATCCGGGTACGGTGCCCCCTCTATCCCAAGCCCTTGCTACCACCCACCCCACCAAGAAGCCTGGCACACAGCAGGTGCCTGAGATGCCCCAAGGGCGGGCATGCCAGGGTAGGGCTTGGAGTCCAAGGGCCACGTCCCGCATACCACCACAAGCACCGGAGGCTGTGGAAGGGGTCCAGGCTTCAGGCCTGCACTCAGCTTCTCCCGCCCCCGAGGCCAAGAACCTAGCAAGGGAAGCAGCCGGAAGCAGGATTCCAAACCCCTTCTTGCTCCTCAAGAGGAAAGGGGCCTCAGGGCAAAACCCCACAAGTGCCTTCCTCCTGCCATGCTGCCTGTCATAGCACCGACACTTCACAGCAGGGAAACCCACTCCTGTGAGGAGAAAACCAAGTACCACAGGAGCCACGTCCACTGGCAGCGTCTGCTGAGCCCAATTAGTGACAACAGCAGCCGGGCCCCCACGCAGCATGCACCGACTCTGACCGCCCCCACACCACAAGGTCCTGAGCTCAGCTTCGACTCATCAGGGGCCTCTTCCAGGAGAGCTCGGCATGTCTACCTTCCTGGGCTCACAGAAAGCTGAGGGACTCAGCCCGGTGTGAACAGAGTCAAGCTCCCACTAGCTGTGCAGACAACCTCCCCAGCCCTGGCCTGGGAAGGGGCCAAGCAGAAACAGCCATCTTTTGCCCGCACAGGTACAGAATTCAGCCAGCTCTCTCAATGGAGTCATGACAGGTCAACTCCAGGCTCCTCAGGCTCTGGGGTTCACCTCGGGCCACTGCACCTTTGAAATGTGGCTGCAGACTCCTCTAGGCTGCTCGGTGTCACGGCCCATTTCATTCAGACACTGCAGGCCCCACCCGTGGTGTCACTACCCAGGACACCCCTGCCGGCATCCTCCGATATGCTGCTGCAGCTGCTGTGATCTGAGAACAGCCACGTGCAGGCATCAAAGGGAGGGCTTCTCAAGTCTCCGAGAGCAGTGGCTACAGCTTCGGAAGACGTTGCACTGAATCCTCGGTGAGCCTGGCTCGGTCTGCAATCTAAGCCGGGTTGCTGGGGAGATGCACTCTGTTGTAACTGATGG